AAMMAAMMARSMRGRAAAAAATTGTTTTAGACATGCAATATTTTGCACTCTCTCCAAGTAGTAATGACAAAGTTTCTTAGCATTTTTCTGAAATACAAAAAAAAATCAATTATTAAATTCAATGTTAAGAGAAAAAACTTGTAACTTCAACATCATACCAACCAAAGGACATGAATATGAATTGTTTTCACAATTCAAGTCAGTTATAAATCATCTTGTTTTATCTCAACTTTTCCATTAGAGACTTAAACCTACAAAAGCTCACTAGTTATAGTGCTGGTTATCAGTTTCTCAATTTTTGTTGGGTTTAGAAATAATGTAAAAGGTTATTATGGGCAGGACAAGATTAACCTTTTGTACTAGCCTTGCACCTGCTAAAAAATCTGCATGTGTCATTTTTTTTGCAAATTAGSTGCAAAAGTGTGTTTTCAACAGATCAAATAGTTTGTACTAATGTATCACTCTAGTTATTTTTCTCTCTGAATTCTTAATTAGGTTCATTTTATTTAATAATGTCATAATAATTAATTTATGATAATAATACAGTCATGTTGCTTTTTATTTTCTTATAATCTTCTCTTTTTTCCTAAGTTTATAACTAATCCCAAAACATTTGTATAATAAAGTCATACATGGACATTATGTTTTCAATTTTGTACAATAATATTTTGAAATGTCAAGTTGTGAAGGCAAAATGCATTGTAAACAATATTAGAATTAAAATTTAATTTGAAATTCCTTGCTGAGAKGCTCAAAAGGGGCCCTGTGAATTTGAAATATGACTTTAATCAAATCTAGGTGACTAGCTAAAGGTGGTAAATTACCTTCCAATCACAAAGAAAAAAAAAAACATCTGACGATTTTCATAAATGACTGACACTAATTATCATATTATTATGTATTTATAATTATTATATTGTGCATGTTTTTTAGTTATTGACAAACTGTTGATGTCTTAAAATGTTCAAAACTAAGGCAGACTGTGAAGTTTTGAACATTTACATGATTGTATGATATCAAGAGTGTGTCAATAAATGTCATGTACAATTTGTGTTATCTAACACTTTTTCTTTTCCAAATGAATGAAAATTATTCTTTTCTTTCAACTGAGCRTGTGCATACGACATGATGGTGTCAACACAGTGTGTATGTCTTCTTATTGACACACTCTAATCAGAAAATCATGGGTGAGAATTGTTATGGTAAACGTTAGATTTATAATGTACAAAAAATGTACTCAGATCATGATAGATTTCAGAGCTAAAGTTAGGTTCTGAAGTGATGTTTTTATAGTAAAACATTTTTCTCCATAAGTCATAGTAGTTAATGAAGAGGTCCAAAAATGTCAGTCTGCACAAAGGCTTAGAGAAGAATTTCATACAAATCCGCGTATTTCCATTAAACACAAATAATTTGTTAACATTTTGTCAAAATCTTCAAAATTCCATAAAATGTGTATTTGTGATGACTTAATGCGGAAGTATTTTCATGATATTATTGACGTCCATGAGTGTGGTCAACTTTAAAATCAAAATGTGCTTAAAAACTCCTATAAATGCCATGATGTTTTATTAAAAGAAATGGGAATAGTGTATTCATTAGATGGTTTTACATTATGTTGTCATTGAAATTGTTACCTCCGATGTTATAAATCTCTTTTTCTTTCTTTTTTCTATTTGAAATTCATAAAACACTAAATATTGACATAAAAGAATTTTCCTGTTATCCATTTTCAAGGATGTAMTTCAATCAAGACTGCATCCTGTCTTCTGTTGTGTCTTAAAGAAATCTTGAAATCCTTGTTTCACTTTCAATCTTTGTCATATTGTCATGTGGGAAAGCTGCCTGTGGCTAAATGTAACAAAGAGCAAGAGAACAAAAAGAAACTAAAAAAAAAAAAAAATCATTGTCTTGGCTAATGTGTTAAACATTAACTTACATTATTTTCACTCCTTTTTACAGCAACTATTACTTCAGCATATTACCTGATATTACTTTATGTATAATCTATAATAAAATATTAATTTTTGGTTGAATGTGTAATAAAGTACTGTAAACTTGCTTTTGTAGTCTGCTGCTTATTTAAAAAAGAAAAGAAAGAAATAATTATTGATTAGATTCGTTTTGTATATTGTAGAGCTCAAAAATGAGCATTTCACATTTAACTTGATTTGTTTCTTTATGTATCCTCTATGATCATGAGTATTTTTAGTTTGTGTAAACTAAATTTGATTTTGTAGGGTGCTGTGTGTGTCGTGTATATTTTGTGTCTCAGCATGTTCTGTTAAGGGTTACACCCTTATTCAAACAAGCAGTCATTACTAAAAAGTGTTTTGCTATTAAGRGATTGGTTATTTGTGGGTGGTTAGTGACAAGCAGTGCTTTCCATAATGTGTCTCAGCATGCCCTGTTTTATTGTGCAAATTATGGATTATCTTTGAACTTGTCCAAGAGTTAGGTTTGTACATTTTTGATCTATTCTTTAATGTAATCTTTCCTGATTTCTTTATCTGGTAGATATGTAATTATAATAGAGTTCCTTAGTATATTATTTCAATTATTTGATTCTGCCATATTGTGTGACTGATTAGATTTGCTGAAGATTTTGATTTAAAATAATGAGTGACTATACATGTATTTATTACTCAGAGTTAAATACATTCCCCACCTCTGCCCTCCTGAAAGAAAATAATCAATTTTCCCACAGGGGTAGCTGTAGGGAATAGATGTAACATTGCACTTTGTGTCATTGTCAGTGGGATTCGTTAAAATAAAAAAGAATGCTGCTTAAAAGCTTGACTCTCTTTTCTAAGCTATGATTTCCTTATGTTGACTAAATCATTTGACAGTGATCTTTTCTATTACAGATAATTAACTGGTACAAAGGAAGCCCAACACTATGGCATTATCATTAAAAATACATGTTGTCAAAAATAGCAGTGTAAAAACGTTACAGGTAAGTGAGAATTTTACTGCTGTGCCAAGAGAAAAAATAATATTATTTAATTATATATTTAATTGAATATTCTCATTGATGAAATGAACTTTGCAGTAAATTTCAGGATTAAATATCTTTTTCTTCGTGAACCTACCCTGGTGCAAATCCAAGACATCTAGGATCTTGAATAGTTCTTATACAGAATCCTGACAAGATCCTGGTTAGGATCGTGTCARGATCCTATTAGGATCCTAGTATGATTYTAKCCAGGATTTGCACCAGGGTTTKTGCCATGGCATATTCTGTCAGTAGTGCCTCAATCTACAAAATTGTAAATAAATGAATAGACCAAAAATTCACAGCAGTCCATCATAATATTATATTGTCTATTATCATTGATAGAGTACAAACACTAAAACTGTGCAACATAAATACCACTAAATACTGCTAAATTATACTAATTCTATTGTTTTCTATTGTTTCATTAACACTATTTTGTAGTAAATAGTGGAAAAGTGTTGCACACATTAAAATGTTTGTACTCTAGCAATATTTATTATTGATTCAATAATTAATATAATCTTGTGCTGCAGTTTAATCCAGAAGCAACCGTTGCAGAAGCATTACGAATAATAAGAGACAAGGTACCAGATGCCTCTCCTGGAAAAGGTAATTGGTAGTACTTACAATGCTAAGAGAATCTGGTCACTGATAAAATTATTATTTTTTCGGTCCAGTATCCTAGTCATTCGTGCGCTGTGATTGGCTAGCACACAGTCCGTTTTTTTTTTTCACGATCTTCCTGGTCCGACGATATCCTGCTAGGCTGTGAGCAAAGTTGCATAAAATATTAATGAAAAAAATAAAAATGTTATTTACCGGCTGTAGGTCAGTCCGTATAGAAAAACACTGCCCTCTGTCTTTTATGTACGGACCTCGCTGCGCTCGTTCTGGACTTTCAAGACCTCTGGCAGTGTTTTCCTATACGGACCTCCCAGCTGGTAAATAACATATATTTCATAATAATTAAATTTCTTCAGAAACAGCCAGTTGTAGGTGTTAAACATGGTGACCAACAACACCGAAAAACCAAGACATATAAAATGTTCACAATGTTTATTGTTAGTAAAAACCTATATAATTGTATGTTTTATTATATTAAAAGTTTTCTTTGAATTTGAATATGCCATAAGGTGTGAACACACAATTTTTCAGCTAGAAGGTCCTTTCACTGGTCAAACCTGAGCCTGGCCAGCGATCATTACATGTACTACATATTGCTCTTATGTTATCTCATGTTAGTTTTTGTTTGGCTAGTAAACACAGAAGCTAGTGTTTTAAGATTTTGTTATTGATTAGAAGCCTGTTTTTCAGCTGCTGATTATGGCCTGTTTCTACCATCTGATGAACTATCAAAAGGAAAATGGTTAGAGCCAGCAAGATCACTAAACTTTTACCCTCTCAAGAATGGAGTAAGTACAGAAAATTCACTGCGTGCTGGTAATAATACAAACAATTTATTTGTTCTGTTTTGCAGGATGCAGTTGAATATAAAACTAAAATTCGACTTATCAAGATCAAAATGATGGATAACAACCTCAAAACTCTACAGGTCTTGTGCAGTAATTTYCATATCTTTTTTCTRCAATAAATTCGTTTGCTGGTCAAGTCAMACACCAAACTTAACTTTCGATTATTGCCAAATGATAGTTCAAGATAAAAACTATCTGCCTTGGGTTTTTTAAAAAGACATAATACCATCTACAAGTCTAGTAAKCAAATATTATTGGAAAGTATTCAACAAAGTGTTGTAATTTTTGAAAGAGAACTTACAGCAAATGTGTCATTCTTATAATTTAATTGCAAATGAGCTCAAAACATGACTTTCAAACTTAAACTATAAAATCTGGATTTTGGTATCATGGCAAAGTATCTGTCAAAGTTCTACATTTACCGTAAAAGAGTTTTCAAATTCTTGATATTTATTTAATATACAATTGTCATTATCTACAGATTGATGACAGTCACACATGTGGACAAATTCTTGAGACAATTTGTGCAAAATTAGGTACGACTCACAAGCAAAACTTTAAAACAATGAACGATAATAGTATGACGTATAGTACAATCATATACATGTGTATAAATTGCTTCACTGTGCTTGTTTCAGGAATATCAAACCCAGAAGAATTTTCACTGTTGGTAGAAGGAATCAAGGATGAAAAAGAGGAATCAGAAAAGACAGCTACTATGAAAAGGGTAAGTATAGCTACATGTATATGGTACATTTTCATTATTATATATTAGTCAAGATGGAAACCAGAATATGCCCACTTCTGATTTGCCATGAAATTTGGAACAATATGGATTTTCTTTCAAGTTGACAGGCTAATTAAATGTATAGCCAGGGCAGACATCAGCTAAACCACTTTATGGCCTGGGCAATGGTATAAAGTGTGTGACATTTACATGTCTTCCCACTAGAAACTGTCTGTGTGTGAAACCACACATCAATATGTTTACAAGTATAAAATATCTAGTAAGTTATGAACAGTGAATAACTACATTTTGTATCTCTTAGGATAAATCTATGAAAGATGTCCCTATCAAACGAATGGAAGAAAGAGACAGAAAGAAGATGGAACAGTTAAAAAAGAAACTACACACAGAAGATGATGGTACGTTGAGCTTCTTTCATTTGATTCCAACCTTACTAAGGATATCCAGTCCAAATTGACCTGGGAACGAATAGTCTCCTTCACGGTTCCCTGCACCATCTTGAAAGGTAGCCGTGCCTTTGCATCGAAGCGAGACAACCGTTGAGCTTGCAATGATAGAAACCTTTTTTCACAACTACAGACAATTATTCACAGGTATCTATCATTGCACGCTCAACGGTCATCTCGCTTCGATGCAAAGGCAAGGCTACCTTTCAAGATGGCGAGGGTAACCGTGAAGGAGACTATTTAACGGTATTCTTCCTAAGCTAGTGACCAAAAATYTAAACTTATAACTTTTACCTTAGAAGGAAACTAGAAGTAAGATCCAGAATGACCTTACAAAAATCATGATCTGCAATGTACTGGAAGTGATTGTAGGGAAATGTGTGTGTGTAAACTTTTAATATTTTGTTGCAGTCCGTTGGCTTGATCATGACAAGACACTAAGAGAGCTTGCAGTCAGTGACACAGACACAGTTGTAATGAGGTAATGCATGACGTTGTCACATACACAATCATATMAAGGCACAGCAAATAAAGRTGTAAACACTWTCAACATCCGTAAAACTTGTTGAATGCTGTTCAACGGTGTTGAATGATGAAGAAAGGTGCAAGCGCAAACACTTTCAACATTTGTTTTAATTTTGCTTCAAATGAATATAAATAACAAAGACAACATTTGCTAGAAGACTTTTTAAGCAGTTTTTATAATGATGATAATAGACTGAGGCATGATTGATATCTACAGTCAGTACTAGTAACCCTGAATTGCTCCTTTTGCTTTTGTAGGAGGAAGTACTTTTATTCAGATCAAAATGTYGATATTAAGGATCCTGTCCAGTTAAATCTACTCTATGTCCAGGTAATTAAACTAATTATGGATAATATTGTTAGTAATGGGAATTGTGCATTATATGAAGAAAATTGTTATGTTATGCCTGTTAACATCATAGTGAGATTATTAGTGATGTTGGTGTTGATGATTATTATTCGTCATGAGCATCAGAAWACTAAATGCAGTGTGATATCTCTCTAGTGTCGYGATGGAATCCTTGATGGCACCCATCCATGTACTGTYGAAGAGGCTTCACAGGTTTGTTTATCTTAATTATCATTAGTAATGAAAACATAATTTTATTACTGAATTACGACTAATAATTAAAGCACTTCATATGTCTTAATGAGTTGATTAAAACATTAAAATTATACTAATTTAATGCTTTGATTTGACCTTGTTTATACAATAATATGTATTTTACTGATAACATAATGAGCGGCAATGTTAATATATGCACAATCTGTATCAGTTGTATTTATCAAACATCCTTCTTCTAGCTTGGTGCTATTCAAATTCAAGTACAATTTGGAGATTATGATGAAGGAAAATACAAATTAATTGAGTAAGTACATCACCTATTAATGTATAATTTGACAGTACATGTATGTAGTCTAGTAACCACTTTATAGGGAGGGCTGGTTGATAGTACAAGTCCTTTTTATGGCTTATGCTATGGCAAATGCCAAGCTCAATGTGCAAGTCTGTCCAAATTGCTTTGTAAGCTTACAGGAGCTTTTAAAGGCAAAGTATTTAGATTGTGGTTCAACTAGTAAAAGCTACTATTATGTTCAGTTGAAGATTGATAATTTGAACTATTCAAATGTTGTAGTTTAGTACAACAGAAGCACTCCATATTTTATGCAACTTTTGCATGTTAAACAACAGAAAATCAAGTTTGAAGTTTAGCCTAAAGTTTCTGTCTGTTATTTCAGTCTAAAAGAATTCCTRCCTTCCTACTATGTCAAGTCAAAGAACATTGATAAAAAGATCAAAGAGGTAACTAACTTGATGGATAAGAAGACAGCTTTTCCTTAATTTCTATATCCCAATTAAGAAAATATTTCTTAAAGGGTGGCTATCATCCATCTATATCTGTAAATGACTGAATGATTGCATTCAATAAGTGATTGTTTACGTACAGGAACACAAAAAGCTTGGTGGTTTGGATGAACTTCAAGGACGATATAGATATGTTCAGCTGTGTCGTGGCCTCAAGACGTATGGTGTCACTTTTTTCCTTGTTAAGGTAATTTTCTCATTAAAAAAGTCTTCATTTAAATATTCAGCAGAAAATATTATTGCACAATAGTCCAGGCTCCACCAACTGACCTAAGCAGCTGAACAAACTATGGTCGACTGATTTTACTGATGGAATTGACATCTTTTTCTTTCAGGAAAAAATGAAGGGTAAAAACAAGCTAGTTCCCAGGCTTTTGGGTATMACCAAGGAGAGTATCCTTAGAGTTGACGAGAAGACAAAAGAGGTATATACTTCATGTATTGGTTGRATTGACTTGTGTATTCATGTTTTTTCCTTTTTCTTGCAGGTTATGAAAACATGGCCATTAACAACTGTTCGCAGATGGGCAGCATCACCCAATAGTTTTACATTGGTAAGTGATTGGTTTTATCAAGGCCATAATTTTTCCTTCAATTAGCATGTCCCATTATCTTTAAATCAGGCAGCTCAATCAAGAATAACTTTATAGCAGCTCAAAAAGACAAAACTGTAGTAAACGTTGAGCAGGATGTTATTGTGAAGAAATGAGTTTCAAGTATTGATTTGTCACTRCCATCCAAACCATTCATATTAAATTAGTATGTTTTTATGTTCTGTTGATCGTGAAGCAATTCAATCATCAACAGTTACATATCATGTACATGTAGTTCTTTCACAGAAAAAAAATTGAAGTTGGAAACCAGCAGTAGTAACGTCGTTTTTCTATTTTTCTTGTAGGATTTTGGAGACTACACTGAGTCATATTACTCTGTACAAACCCATGAGGGTGAAAAGATATCACAGCTTATTGCTGGCTACATTGATATTATTCTTAAAAAGGTAAAATAATTAAACTTATCTGTTAGGTATCTGTTTTAATGAGGTATGTGTGATACAGGTGCTACAACAGTGGTGTTTGTCAAATGTAGAGCTGTCTGTAAAGCGATGTCCTTGATAATGATTTGAAGGTGTCTCTCCGTTTAGAAGAATTATGGAGGTGTCTGCYATGTAGGAGGTGTCTGTCATGTTAAGCTGTCTGTAAAGAGGTGTCCGTTATATAATTTGAGGTGTCTCTAAATAATTTAGAAGACTTATAGAGGTGTCTGTCACCTAGAGGTGTCCATCATCTAGAGTGTTCCATAGAGAGGGTTTATAATATGTCCTGTTTTTCTTTCCTTTGTTATAATGATTTGATTTTTTTTCAGCGTAAAGGTTTGGAGGGTTTTGATCCAGACTTTGATGAAGAGTCCACTATGGAAGAAGATTCTGTCAGTCCTTCAAAGTAAGAAAAATCATCATTTGACACAGTGTTTGTACAGGTGTAGGTGTGGCAATGGCGGATCCAGGGGGGGTTCCATGGGTTCCTAAGGAACTCCCCTCGAGCATAAAAAAAAAAGATAAATGAAATATGATTGTATTTACATTTGCTACAGTTCGAGAGGCACAGTTAAAAAGTACGTTTTAGGAAAATGCGATATCAAAGTAGAACCCCACTTTGAAAAATCCTGGATCTGCCACTGCAATTAATGTAATATGATATATGCCCGTGAATGAGTATGATATCAATAAATGCCAACTTTTTTTTCCATAGGGGAACCTATCTTGACCGCCAAACCAACAAAGTTGGTCATGCATCTGTRGGATCTGTTGCATTGCCTGCTGTGGTCAGAACAGGTGGACAAGGTAGGCTTATATCCTTTACCAATCGTGGCATCAGTCACTGTGTGAGGGAGGGGTCGGTGTGGAAGTTGCTGATACTAACAATTGTTACAAACATTTACAGGTGCATCCCGATACAGCATGGGTAAAATGGAACCAGCCCAATATGGTACCATGTCAGGATCAGCACACTCAGCTCATAGGCCACCTATGGTAAGGGCATTGTTGTTGAGTCTTCATCAGTATTTTCTTCTTATTAAAACCTTTTATTTGATAGTTGCTTTTTATATAAACTGTACTCTAGAATCAAGTCTGTAATGATTTGCTCACAAAAAGTAGTAGTAGTTRTTTATGAGGCCATAGCTGCTTTGTGAGTTAGTCATACAAGGAGCCTTTTTATGAGAGGTTCTGTCAACAGTTTATAACGTAGACTAATGTGGTATTCCTKTGTACAAAGGGTACCCAAGGCAAACTTCACAATCTAACCCCAGCACARCAGGCMTATATGAGTAGTCTCAGCCATGGAATTGACTCCATTGACAACGCTGACCAAGAGCTAAAGAACCCACTTAACGTCATTGCACTTGGCTCAGATCCGGTAAGAAAACATCAATAACACAGGCATCCCATGCATCCCATGCATCCGGGGTCCAAATATAGGCCTTATGTTTCCAGTGGTATTTTAAAGTAGCTAGAAGTTGTTCAATGATGATTGTATCTTGTTTACTTCAAGGCTTCGTTAAAGTGGAAGCAGAACACGCTTGACGTGTCCAGACAGAATGTYGCCTCGAGACTTGCAGCTCTTTCAGCATCGTGTGCGTCCATTGTCAATGTCACAGCTGGTAAGTTATTTGCGGAATGATGTATTTTATGTATTTTTTGTCATTATTGGTAATAATAATTATAGATTTCATTTCATTTCAACAATACAGAAGAAGAAATTGCATTATCTTAAGGATTAATGGCAGCAGTGACACTTTTCCCAACATCAAATTTAATGTTTTTGTTTTCCTTTAGGTGAACCTGATGATTCTAATTACACTGCGGCTGGTGCTGCTGTCAATGTCATGTAAGCATAGTTAGTTACTTCGACATTTTCTTCCTTTATATTTCTAAACTTTACAAAGAGAGAATAATCCAGTTTCGAATTCTCCAATGCTCTGTGTTAGCCTCTTTTGTGCGCAAAATATTCCTAATTGTGAGAATAAAAGTGTGAGATTTCAAAKVAATTYYATTGTYTTTCTTTTCAAATTCCATGCGTTTTCTCGGGCTATCAATGAGACAAAAGAATATGTTGCTTGGTTTTGAGGCTAACACAGAGCAAAACCGAACTCGAAATTGGAGTATTCGCCTTATTCTGTTTTATAAGAGGAATATGCAACAATCGATTTAGACGTAAGAAATAAATGTACAAACTGACACAGTCTAGCTACAAACATTCAACTGAAGCTGACGGAGAAATATGGAAAAGAAAGATGATATCTGTTGAATCCATGAATATGCTCATATCAATGTTGTCCAAGCGAGAATATGAAAACATAACCATAGTTCGCAATAGAAATAAAGGATCATTATTCACTTTCCATTCATCACAAAATAAGAACTTGGGGTTTCAAATAAGGTGTAAAAAAAAAGGTGTAAAAAAAAGGTAAATTACCGCCCTTGCAGGGACACACTTGAACCTCTCATTTATAAAGTATATCGCTTTTTTCATGACCAGTTCTAAAAGCACTCTTCAGATAAACAAGAGATCACGGGATTGAGTCGGGCCGGTCTCAGCTGAGAATATTTTCCTGTCTACAATCCTAATTCATAGGAAACAATTCAAATGACAAAACATTGATTTTTTTCTTATTTAATCTCTTCAGATCTGCTAACCTTCAAGATTTGTCTAAAGGCATCAAAATGATTGCCAGTCTTCTTGACGACACTGATGACAGCAACAAACTCCTAGATGCAGCTCGTGGATTGGCATCAGCATTCTCTAACATGTTGAAAGCTGCTCAGGAAGGATCTAATGGCGATAAAGAGGTAAAGAATACAATGTATTTATTTGTTGATGTTGGTCATTACTGTCACGACTATACTCATTGACAATCATGGTGGTAACTAGCGGTAAACTAGTGTGAGCTGCATCGGTGTTTCTAAAGAAACAGTTGTGTAAAAAGATAAATTTAACACCGTAAAAAAGTAGGTGCATTAACTCCGACGAAGGATTAACGTCCGAAACGTCAGTAAGTTATTTACGGTGTTAAATTTATCTTTTTACACAACTGTTTCATTGACAATCAGCTGATTGCATTGGCCAATCAGAACTTCGCACTGCAACAAATTATTTTTATGCGAGACAATATGGTTCGTGGTTCGTCAGTAGTAAACGCGCAACATTGCTTTGCCACTTATTTTTGCAGCATTGTTGCGAGATAAGATGGACGATTTTGCTGCTCTTATTATTGTACCTTAAATGAATTTTATTTCTAACTTAATAAAAAGAATAAGGTGTTCATCATTTTGTTGTTGTTGTTTTTTATCTTCAACAGAAACGAGGCAAACTTCTCAGCGCTGCAGGTGATGTTGGCTCATCTGGTGCTCAGTTGCTGGAATACATGGGCGAACCTGATGTTGACCAGAAAACTCAGGTGTGACTCTAATCCAATTCTACTTCTACTAGCTCTCCTCTCCAACTGTTTCTTCTTCTGCTACTTTTTCTGGCTCTCCTTCGCTTTCTTACTCTAACTCTGTTTCTCTCTCCTCTTTTATTTCTGCCTTTCTTGTTTCACCTCCTTCTGCCTTTGCTTCTTCTCCTTTTCTTCTTCCTTTTTCTTTTCCTTCCATCTTTCTTCCTTCCATCCTTCTCCTGATTCTTCTTTATCCTCATAAGTTGATTTATCAATTGATTGATATTGTCGACGTTTTGATGGATCATTTACTCAAGTACGCGAAACATTACTCAATAAATAGAAGCAACAATCCAGAAAATAATTAAGATATGTTGTTTTTACTACAGGAAATGCTGCTTCAATTAGCTCAAGCAGTTGCCAACGCAACAGCAACCCTTGTCCTCAAGGGAAAGAATGTTGCAAGCCAGTGTCCCGACACTGCTCAACAAGCAAAGGTCATAGGTGCTGCCAAGGACACAGCCATGACGACCTCACAACTTGTRGCTTGTGTCAAGCTTGTCGTGCCGACGATCAGCAGCCAGATGTGTCAAGATCAGGTGGTCGAGGCCGCCAAACAAGTTGCTAAAGCTGTTGGTGACACAGAAGATGCGTGTAAGGTATGTTCAAGCTGTAGTCACTGCTTGGTTAATACAAAATGTAAAGGTTCAGTGTGGAATACAAGAAATAAGGCGGGGAAAAAGTGCTCTTGGCGGATTTGACCCYATAATTTTAGTATACTGGCCAGCGTGTTAAACACTACATTAGATGTTCATGGTAGATGTCAGCCATACATATGGCAACTGTGGCTGGCGGTTGAGAACGCCGTATTATTCATATCCCGATAACCAAGTGTGGCTCGAATCTCTCCGTGCCGCACACATCAGTCTGTCTCTTCGTGAGGTTTCCGAGGATAGAGTAAGCTGAAGACCGCATTGACAGTTCGCAGAAATTAGGTTGTGAATTCAAAGATAATGATATGTTTTCATCGCTAAAGACGTTCACTAATTCAAAGATTAATTTCCCTTCTTTAGCTTCTTTTGGTTTTTCATGCTCATATTTTTAATAAGATTAATGCTGGTCTAATCATTTTATTGCCAAAATCTTATACCTATTTTTTTTGCTGCAGCAAGCTGCACCAAGTGATTCAGAAGACTTAGCATCTCTAATCGCCGCCGCTCAAGGAGTAMGCGATGCTCTAAATGAGTTAYTAACCAAGGTACGRGAAGGAGGAATCAAGCCAGAGGAGGGAGAGAAGTACGACGAGACTTGTGATGATATCCTTGGTGCTACAGAYAGACTGTTCAATAGTATGGGAAATGCTGGTGAGATGGTCAAACAAGCCAAGATACTTGCTCAGGTAAGGAGAACTATCAAAAATTTAAACCTTTGCCCTCTTACAAAATGTTTAATAAACACGTGACTATTTCACTATCAGGCCACGTCATCTTTGGTCAGCGGTATCAAATCAGAAGCTGAAACACAGGACGATAATGACTCGCAGAAAAGGCTATTGGCAGCTGCTAAGATACTTGCCGACGCTACTGCCAAACTTGTCGAGGCTGCAAAAGTAAGTCAGTCGTCTCTAACAATCGGTTGTATAGATAATGCCATAGAGCACTAACGCAGGAAAAACAAAATAAACTCAAACTAGGTATAACAAATAGCGCTATTTAGAGACAGTTTGTCAGTATCAATGAACCAAATGAATCAAGATGAATTTGAAAATARTCTCATATGGGTTCATCTTGATTGCGTTCTGGTTCATTGATACTGACAAATTGTCTCTAAATAGCTGCTATTTCTTAGTATTTAGTTTGATTTTATTTCTTGGTTTTCCTGCGTTTGCTCTATCCTTTCACAAAAAAAAAGAAAAAAAAATGATCATGGACTGGGGACAAGTGTTTATTTCCCTTTTGTCGTGTTCAGGGAGCAGCAAAGAATCCTAACGATGAACAAGAACAAKAGAAGCTTAGACGAGCAGCTGAAGACCTTCGCTCTGCTACTAACACTGCAGCCAGTGATGCMCTGAAGAAAAAACTCGTCAGAAGACTCGAGGTAGTACACCTTTAAGCAGTTTAAACAAAAATTATGTGTAAATTAAGAATTAAAATGTAGTCTTTGCACTTTTTTGTGAATTTTAAAAAGTCTTATATTCTGTTTTCTTTACTTATAARCATGTATTTTTACAAAACGTATGTTAGTGATCGTTTTAAAATATTTTCTACGCTTTTTCATTTTCAGAAAGCCGCAAAGGAAGCTGCAGGACAGGCTACTCAGCTCATCGCAGCAGCCAATGCTGCCGGGCCTTCTAATAGGAACCAGACCTCTCAGCAGCAACTGGATGACATGATTAAAGTGAGGACTGGGCCCCAATGATCTGAATATYYGTTTGTTTTTTCGTTATTTCTTGATCGATTGATTTTTATCTGTCTCTAAAGCTKTATTTTTTGTATTTATTGTTTAGCCGGTAGAAGACCAAATCAGTAAGCTCCTTGAATCTGTGGGAGATTTGTACAACAACCCAGAAGATCCCGGCAGCCAACTGGGTCTTATCACTGAGTCAAAATTATTTATTGTGGTAAGGCTGTACTTCCATATAATGTATTCTCATCTAAACTCTTTTTTTGCTYTACAAGCTCAATAATTTTCTATTCTATTTGTTATTTAAGCCTGTAGCCAAGCTAGTAGCAACCTCCAAGGCCGCCTTGCCTACGATAGGYGAGCCCATGTAYGCTGCTCAGCTGGATAACTTCGTCAAGAGTACTGCMCAAAAACTGTCTGATCTTAGAGATGCTGCAGACAAAGCGGCTGAAGCTTGTGGCTCTTTAGAGTTGGACAGTGCGCTCAAACAGCTCAAGGCACTGGAAAAAGACTTGAATGATATAGAAAAAGCAGCCGATAAGGGAGAACTTGTCCCTCTMCCTGGCGAGACGGTAAGATCAGTTAACGCCAGTTTGCACTGGCAATCTTTGGTGCKATTTTTCTAGCGATTTTAAAAATATAATAAATKTTGTCTTGTGATTGTAAAAATTCCTTAACATCATTCACTAGGCTCAGAATAACCACAAAAATCGGCAGTGTAAATGAGGCTTTAACAAGTCAACTGTCGGATACCACAGTATTACGGACACTCCATCGTTGTGAACAATATACCCATGATTGAAGATTTGAATTAAAATAGCTCCATTTAAAGCGGACACTCGCAATTACGGACAGTAAATTACTGCCCGAATGTGTCCATTATAACGATGAGTTGGCTTCAGAATTGATGCCCGTTGTCGGTTTATCTAGCATATGTAAATATTGTTGTTCCATTTTTCAGCCTGAATCCTGTGCTCTTGAGCTTGGTGCTACGTCAAAGAGTGTTGGGTCTTGCATGGCACAGCTGCTGACCGCTGCTGCTGGGGTGAGTGCATAAAGGGTAAAATTATTGGATACATTGTGTAAGGCAATACACACGCTTACAAGTGCTCACAATTTTTAATTTTTCCCTTGAAATGAATCCTCAAGACTTCAGAAATATTTTTTTTGCASTTTTATGATTTTGAATCAATCCTTATTTTCTATAGCGCGTTAAAGTTGTCGAATAGCTAGTATCCAGTCGCTCTCCAAATTGCAGCGCCGCGAAATGCGTAGTCCTGGAGCGCCGGATACTCTACTACGTCATCGCCGGGGGGTTAGACGTTACAAAGGGCTACCCCTGAAGATACTTTGATTCTTAATTGAAACAAAGAGCCAATTGATTAAATTACTTTATTTTAACMAGGGTAATGAGAAGTTCACCGGCACAGCTGCACGTGACACGGGCAATGCTCTCAAGATCCTCGTGTCATCAGTTCGTGGGGTGGCTGCAGGAACGCCTGACAGAAAAGATCGCGAAAAAATCATCGATGCTGCACGGAAAGTTATTGTCGAATCTGGCAAACTAATTGAAGAAGCTAAAAATGCTTTGGCTAATCCWGGTGATCCCAAGAATCAGCAGCGGCTTGCACAGGTATGATTTAGTCAGGTCCTGACGTCATATAGTCCTCAAGCTTGCAAAGCCATGGAAAAATTCAATATTTTCAGCAGCATTTTTTAAAATCTAATGATCAAATTATATAAGTCGAATRAGACTGCACAACTTTGCACATAACCATCGCATGCAACCTGCGTAAGTCATCCTTACAACATGGCTACAACTGTCGTGGGGATTTAAAACTAATACCACTACAACATTTGTAGCTATGTTGTAAGGACGACTTACGTAGGTTGCATGCGATGGCTGTAGGAAAATGTTGTGTCGTCTAAATCGGCCTTGTAGCGTTTCACCAAAATGTAGTTTCTTAGTGTCGTCGGTAGCGCGCTTKATGCTTTGAGGGGAACTTCTTTTAAAATTGATTCCTTTGGTATGTCAGCTATAGATGGCTGACATTTGAATGTGCACTTTCAGAATATGGTATTGAATCCTAATTTCTTCAGAATATTTTGATGAAATTTCTCTCTTTTTTTTTTGATTCGTTGACTTGCCAGCGAAGCGAAGGTTTATCGTGTTCACCGAATTGTTGCAGGGAATCAGAACATTCAAACTTTTCTCTACAACACCTCAATGACTGTACGATTATCATAACTGTACRTTACAATGTAATAGGTCGCCAAGAACGTTTCTCAAGCACTCAATAACTGCGTGAACTGTCTGCCTGGACAACGTGACGTAGAGGATGCCATTAAAGCAGTATCTGCCTCCAATCAGGCTTTAGCAAGAGGAGAGGTGGGTAGHCATGACAACAAGATCTAAAGCCATTTGACTGTATCTTTATCTTGCTCTTTGAATAGGTGGGCGTACAATGACGTAGTTTGTTTACATCCAAAATATGAAATTCAAAAAATAAGTAAGCTGAACTCATATAATTCAAGATTATGTTAATTTTAACAAAACCTGAAAATTTTAGAGCAAACCCCTTTTTACATTTCGAGATATCGGCATTTCAAAACTACAAAATCTATAGAAAACATTCAGTGGTTGGCAACATAATGCCAACCACAGTCATTTCTTTAGAAAATCTTGCAAATTCGGCGCTTGATATCTCATGCAATATTTAACCGATTTGCCTTCAAATTTTCAGGAATTGCTATCAGGTATGAGCTCTTTTAATTTATGGGCTTGATTTTCTTGTCGCTTGAAATTCGATTTCTGACTTTTATGCAAATTAGCTAAAACGTAAACAAAGGTGCCCCCCTATTCTGTTTAATTTTAATGTTTAATTTTAATGTTTAATTTTAATTTTTAATTTTTAATGCGCAGGTAGTGATTCAACATTTGATTTCATTGATTTGTTTTAGTTTCCTCCTACTAACAAACCCTACCACCAAGTGCAAGAGCGGGTGAGTCAGACTGGCGCTGCTCTCAACGCCGCCGCTGGTGATGTGGTGTCGGCGTCACGTGGTACACCCAATCAACTCGCTAACTCAACCAAAAAATTTTCTGTATCGTATCAAGACTTGGTAGACAGCGGTCTTACCCTCGCAGGACAAGCGCCGGTATGCTTGTTATGCTAATGCAGTCGTATATTGACACATGGATGTATTGTAACAAATTRTACATTATTACTGTACGCTGCAGAAACTTTTAAAGTGAAAGCCAATATTACACCTTAGTCGTTGACTCCGTTTTCAATTTTCCATTACACTTTTTAGTCATTTTTCATTTCAGTTTTTCGTACTCTTTTGCATATATTAGACTATCACATCTTCACTTTTAGATTTTGTTAAGCAAGATTTGAGAGATTTTCAAAAACKCGTGAAACAGAGTGTAACAAAGTGAGATAGACCGAAAAGATACAGAAAAGCATGCAAAATCAAAAAATAAACTGCATTTCACGGGTTTATGGAAGTCCACTTCATCGTGTCACACATTTCTATTTATTACTATATATTTAGAGTATGTTTCACGGATTTATCACTGGAGTATGTCAAAAGACATTGTTTTTCCCTTCAGGACGATGCTGCTAAAGACACAATGGTACGCAACCTGAAGAACACTTCAACTGCATCCAGTAAACTGCTGCTTGCTGCTAAGTCACTAGTCACGGACCCCAGCGCACCGAATGCTAAAAATGCTTTGGCTAACGCTGCTAGGTAAGATATTACTCCAGGCTTGGTTGGATCATCCAACGCCATCAGATATTCTTGGGCAGCTAGACGTTTTGCTGTTTGGKCACCCTGTGTGATGGTGGTGTCTGTCGTGAGATAGAACATCAAACTTGTGGACGTTGTTGAAGGAGCTTAGTCACCTCTGTTGATGGTGTTAGATGGTGTTAGATTGAGTATGAATTATTGGATGGAGTTTGAAGGCGTTTAGTTTGGCCATCCAAGAATTTATTTACCAAGAATTTGTTTGAACCAAAATGTTGGTTTGCCCAACAATGTTTGAGGGTGTTCAGTGATCGAGCCAACGTTTATTGAGCGTGTTGCTAGTTTGTTTATTTAAATCTTTTACTGATGTTTTCATAGGGGAGTCACGGACAGCATCAACATGTTGTTGAATGCTTGTATGTCAGCAGCTCCTGGGCAGAAGGAATGTGATAACGCCGTWCGTAATATTCAGGTTGGTACACCATCAATAAATACATCTAGTATTTTAAATAAGACACAGTTTTGTAAAAAGATAAATTTAACACCGTAAAAAAGTAGGTGAAATAACTTACTGACGTTTCGGACGTTAATCCTTCGTCAGAGAAAAGAGATGGAACTAGGCTAAGTGTGAGTTTATATAAGAGGAGCTAATATATGTATGTTATTTACCGACTGGAAGGTCCGTATGGGAAAACACTGCCCGAGGTCTTGACAGTACGGAACGAGCGCAGTGTTTTGCAATACGGGCCGACCTATAGGATGACTAGTAAACCGGACCGCAAAAAAAAAAAAAAAAAAAAAAAAAAAAAAAAAAAAAAATATTAATAATAATCTAAGTCTATGATATGACTCCATTAAAAAGGAATTATTGTAGACCTGAGGCTTAGTTTTTAAAAGTCCTATTGGCGCTAAACCAGGCATAAGTCCAGGTGTATTTAGAGTTAATCCAGAACTAGCGCAAATCAATTTTTGAACAACTTAGTCATGGTACAATCTTACTATAGAAATGATAGATATTTACACTTCTTATACTTTATCTCTTATGATATAACTTTTTCCATTATTTTTTATTCAGGCAATGAACAATGTATTAGAAAATCCAGTAGAGCCTGTCAACGATGATACGTACTTCGACTGCTTAGAGACGGTATCCAGGGAATCCAGGGAYCTTGCCGAGTCAATGCCAGTTATCTCGGACAGTATCAAGTCAGCTGATTACAATAAATTTGATTCGACAGTTCGACGCGCGTCCGATGCTGTATGCGCTTTAACCGAGTCCGCTGCACAGGTATGCATTGAAAAAAAACCCAGCACACACAGCCGAGAACCTTGTAAATTTGCTGTAAAATCAGTCAATTAACGTTGTTCCAATGACAAAGACATAAAGACAACAGTCATTTGCATATTTCATACTTTTAATTTTTTGGCATGAATAGTCAATGTAATGTCACAAAATATCTTTAGAATGTTAATAGATGTACATTTAATTCGTTATTTAATTACGATTCTTCCTTCGAATTTTAAAAACGTTTTAATGCAAATGATTTTGTTGTTGTCTTTATGTCTTTACAAGTGGACAACTTCAATTGGATTGACGTTTTGTAAATACCATGGGTCCAAAACCATGTAAATTTAATTTTTCACGATATTTTCATGGTTTTTACAGTACATGGTAAGGTGTTATTTATTATTGCAAGATCAACTGGTGCTGCTCAAACGTTTATTTACAACATGAAAACTGTACTTACCGCATAAAACCTTTCGTCATGTACACAAGCAAAAGAGGTTAAAATGTCGTATAAGAATTACCCATTTATGGGTGATATTGATTGTTTTTTTGTTCGATAATTATCCAGGCAGCATACTTGGTCGCCGTCGCTGATCCGTCAAGTACTGCCGGTCGTCCAGGTCTAATCGATCAAGATAAGTTCCTTAAAGCCCGTAACGAAATCAACGATGCYTGCTCTAGTTTACTGGATCCTGATTCCAGTCAACAAAAGGTGCGCTTTTACTTTGTGCTAGATGTAGTATATACATGTCCATGTAAAAAGATTTCCTCATGATATTAAGCTGCTCGCTCGCTCTTTCTGAATTCCTTAATTAGCAGTTACTATATACAGGTATTTCAAACAACGTTGAATACTGAATACGGGATAGTATATTCTAAGTCCGAAATGCATTGTTGGCCTTCAAAAGGTGTTTTCATGGTTTCAGAGTGACTATACAAACTCARTACAGTTCCAACTTCAGTGGAAAGCAATTGAGTTCAGATTTTCCATTTTGTAACACGGCTAATATGGATTTAGACGACAGCAATGCATTTCAGTCTAGGAATGTAGTATGCAGTTTCACAGTATTCAACGTTTTCTAAAATAGCTGTATTTTGGGAAATTGGAATACATTTTTATCGAAAGAGAGAAAGAGAAAAAAGATTTTCTTCAAACAGTTTCAATYTACAAACATGGGAACGAGGAAAACCGACCAACAAATCAGCTCTTTTTAAGTCGCGTATCTTTGAAAAGAACCCTTCCTATGTTTTGACTAGTTTAATCTATTTTAGGTATTAGCTGCAGCCACGTCGGTCGCCAAACATACCTCTGCCCTTTGTAACGCGTGTAAGACTGCATCAGCTAAGACTACTAATCCTGCAGCTAAAAGACAGTTCGTCCAGTCGGCTAAAGATGTCGCTAACAATACTGCAACACTGGTAAAGAATATCAAGGTAGGACAATTAAGTTGAACTGAATACACTTCTGAAGYTTTTACCTCAACAGCTTGACTTGCATTGCATTGTGGGATGAGTTTCTGGAAAATGAAAAAAATGAATGAATGAATAAATCCGCCATTTTTTGACCCAAACATATCAATTCATAATAACGATTTCATGGTCATTAACAATCCCTAGACATTCGCTGGAAACATGAACGAGGATAACAGGCTGTCCTGCGCCGATGCAACCAAGCCACTTCGTAACAGCGTACACAGCCTAACAGCGTATGCGCTGTCACCTGAATTTGCYTCAGTYCCCGCCAGAATAAGTGACGAGGTATTTATTTGCATYGAGTAATTTCATCTCAACCGGAAACATTTAGTTCAAGATTAGCTTACTCTCTTCTTATTGGTAATTAGGCTCGCTCGGCCCAGGTTCCTGTAATAATGGCCGGGAAATCAGTGGCGACGACTGGTACGAATTACTTCAACGCTGCCAAGATAGGCGTGGTGAATCCAAAGGACCARCAGGCTATGTATCAAATGCAGCAGTCTGCTAAAGCTGTAGCTGATGCTATGAAGAGACTTATCACGGCCATCAAGTACGTAAGGCCAAGTCAAATAAAAAGTTGAAACTCCATCCAAAACTATAAAACTTCGTTGGGCTTTCAATCGTTTTGTTGTTTGGTTACCTTKTTTGATGATATYGGATATAGTTRCGCGCTATTTGCTWCCCAATACAATCATAAATWGTTTGTTTATYCAACATGCCTCCGTTGCAGACGTCTTAGTAGGATCTCTTCAGTGAATTGCATAAGCCGTATGCAACGGAGGCTAGATCTAACAAGGCTGCAAGGTTGTGTCATACATTKTTTCTTTTTTGGCYCTGGCGATTATGAGTTTACCATAGCTGTTAAAATCSCGGCTATTCGCCTAACGTCCCAACGTCCTCATTAGACTTACAAATATTGATTATGTTGGGTTTGACATTCTACAGRGACAACGCACCAGGACAAAGAGAATGCGACGAGGCACTTGATAAAATCAACCAAGTTATTAACGATCTTGACCAGGCGTCCCTCTCAAGTATCAGTGAGGGTCTGGCACCAAGAACAGACAATACGTTACGAGTATGTTTGATATTGGAAATTCTATTCCCTTTACTTCTAGTGAAAATCATCTCATTAATGTGTTACCACAGGGTTACCAAGAGAAGATGCAGCARAATTTACACCAGATAAGTGACAATGTCGATCCTCTTGCTGTAGCAGCGAAATCAGAACCAGAGAACATCGGCCATAAGGTAATAAATCACAACAGACAATTAACAACAGAAGATTTGGGCAAAGTTTGAGTAGACATATTGCAATGTGTCGTCCAAACAATAAGACAAAACATTACCTGTTACTGCCGAACTACACAACAAAAGGGTGATGGTTTTAAAAAAACAATAACACAAAGTTTAACAAGTAACAACTAAAATATTGCAAGGTTTGATATGTAAAAATCAAGTTAAATAATGGAATTATCAATTATTTTGTTTTTTCTGAAAATAATGTATTGGAAAATTACAAATAGCAATAGTAACACTAGGTAACAAACAATAAGAGTGTACAACATCAATACCACTAAATAGTGCTAAATTCTGCTAATTCTATTGTTTTGTTAGCACTATTTAATATTAAATAGTGCAAAGTGCCGCACACTTTTATTTTGTAGTCATTCATATCATACAAACCCTCTTTAGGTTGCCAAGYTAACAGACTTCTTAGTGCCTCTCTGCGATGCCACCATAGGCACAGCATCTCTTATGAACAACGTCGATCGTAAAGCTGACATGTTAGACCAGACCAAGACTGTAGCAGAGTGTGCTGCTCAAATGATGTACGCCGCTAAAGCTGGTGGTGGCAATCCAAAGGTATGACTAGTGAAGGCATTTTTTATCAAATATGCTGAACGTGCCGTGGACTTGTCAAAGTAATATGCAAAAATCACAACCATGAAGTGTTTGTCAATATTACTCGAAATCGAACAGATGATTTTTTTAACTATTCCAAAACGTTACGCAATAGTTTGACGTTAATGATGGCATCTACCGCTTTCTGGATCATATCAACTTTTTGAGATATTTGGGAAAAATGAATTTCGACAAAATGCAAATTCTGTTGGCTAGGTAACGTTGATAGAGCTATATATTTTTGCCAAACAAAACTTTGGTCAATGCTTTAATACTGGTCCAGAAAGAAATCGGTGCATAGCAAGATTTTCAAAAAGCGAATTAAAATGGGATGTATGATCGAAAAACAACTGTAGGAAGTCACCTTAAATTGCTCTTAGATTGTACAAGCTGTGCCAATCTTTGTTTTAAAGTTCTTGATGAACAAAGACTTATGTTTGCACGCTGTTGTTGGCTAAACTCATCGCTACTCGACTAGAGCGAAAGGGATGATGGGAAATAAGCTCGAATTTCTGTAGCAATGGAACATCGGAGACTTGACAAAATAGAAATAATCGTGGTTAGCAATTTGTATTGAGGAAAACATTTCATTATTTGTCTCCACGTTTTGTGCAAGCATTCTATAATTGAAAGATTTCTATCCATGATACAAAAATGATAAAGAAGGTGTTTTTATTTTCTGAGCTAAAGGGATTTGAAAATTTAAAATGCTAATGAGGTGACGTCAACCAAGAAATTGGGCTTGAGGTTTTTCATTGTTTGCGATATCTTGCGTTAAGTTGAAATGGTGATATCATCAATAGTAATATTCAAGAGCTGGAAATTTTAATTCCAATCTAAAAAAAGAATAATGTCTTTCTTTCGTGATTTTGCATATTGAATCTTTCATGAGTAGACGTCACATAATTTGCATTTCCGATTTTCAAATATTTCTAAATCAGAAGATATAAATTTGAATGTTTTTCTCCTCTGCAGAAGTGCTTAGCAGCTGTTCTCTAATAAAATGATTTCGAAAAGAATTCATGTGCACTTTAAACCAGATCKTTTTGCTGTATCCTATAGAATACTGATGCTCACCCAGCGATTGACGAGGCAGCTGAAAGCATGAAGGATGCATTACGAGACTTGACAGACACAGTTGAGAAAGATGCCAGTGAATCTGGTGTAGTTTCTGGACTGGTTGATAGTATCAGCAAGACTTTGACTAGCGTACGTTSTTATTCATAATACCTGTGATATTATCCCTTGATCTTTAAGACCTTAGGACTCTGTGATTTCATCCCTTTCATCTTATGACTTTCTGTCAATTCTAAAATTCAAAAAATAAATTGGTGGAGAGTCGACCACGTGTCGCGATAGTGCACGCCGCGGACGGGTGCCATCGTGCATAGAGCCCGCCACTTCAGAATATTTTGTTGTTGAACAATAAAAGCAATGGAGTAGTTGAAATCTCAGGCATTTTACTGTGAAAGTTGCCCTTGGAAAGTTGTTTTTTTTTTCAAAACTTTTTCGAAACGTTTGCAAGTGTGTAAGTAGCTGTGGAGTTTATTACACAAGCAACAAAAATGGCCTTTAGGGACTTTTTTATAGGGCAAGGACTACTAATGCCATCATTCTTCGTGTACAAAATGGCGTTGCTTCACCGAATTGTAGATAGAAAGAATTGGATATATTTAGATTACTTTGTAATATCACATATTCATATTAAGTTGTCAATCATTCATTTTTATKGTGGGTRTGGCTAACGTGACGTCATTTGATTGACAGATCGACGGCCCAATGGATCCAGTCCATGCCAAGATACGTGAAGCTGATCAACCGTTTGTATACTACCAAGAACGAATGACCAAAGCAATGAAAGAACTTACTCGCAGAGCTCAAGATATGGTGAATATTTACTCGCTGAAAGGCTCTTTCGATTATTGTGTATTTTTGTAGTGTATTTTAGCTTTTTTACAGAAAATATCAGCTTTAAGGCAGAATTAATTTTCAGCGTTCTCGAGCTTACTAAAATGTGCTTTCTCGTATAAATGCTTTTTTATTCTCGCAGATTTGGTAGAATTGACTAGAATCTCGTGTTAATGACATCAATGTTGGATGATTTGTAGACTCGAGTGCGATTTACAGAAAAAGGATCACCTAAAATTTCAAAAGAAATGCATGGGGTGTCGAGGGTAGCCCCATTCATCGTCGAATCAGCTTATTAAAGACAAAAGAGTAAACATAGAAAACCACCTTCCTTTTAAAACCCTAAGTTGTCTTTTTTGAGCTTAAGTTTATATTGCAGCGCGTAGCGGYCCCAACAGGCTTCATTATTATTATCTTCATAAATGTAATGCGTCTTTGTATTGTGAAGGTTGGCAAGTCCAGCACCGACCCCACTAAGCTAGGACCCTTAGCCAAAGACATCAGCAACCTCTATGACGATATTGCTAAGAATTCTAAAGGTGCCGTGGCTACTGTCGGGAATCAACAGGTTAGAAATTTGTGTACAATGGAACGACATCTTTATTTCTTCTGTTTTATTATGTTATCATCGACATATTATTAAAGCCGGACCATGCGCATCCGAGGAACTATACGCAGTTTTCTCACACACAAAAGATCAGCATCTTTTTAAAGATGCCTTTTCGGTTCAAAACTGAACCGATTACAAGGCAACTTTCAAAAAATGATAGTTAAAGGATCTCGTTTGCAAGTCGACCTTCGAAGGGCGATTAACACTTGACATTTTATCACAACAACTACAACAACAACAACGACAACAACAACAACAACAACAACAACATTTAATAACCACAACAGCACCAATTAGGCAACATAATAATAACACGAAGAACAACAAATAAAGAACTAATTTAAAAATCCCTAGTATTGCCTGTGATTGTTAGCTCTTATTAATTTTTTGTTTGACTTGTCGCTTAAGGTCTAATTAGACGACACAACTTATGCCTAGAACCAGGCATGCGACCAGTCATTCTTACAACATGACTGCTGCTGTCGTAGGGGTTTAATACAATTGCTTAATAGTCCCACCACGACCAGTTGCATTCATGCTGTAAGGATGACTTACGGAGGTCGCATGCGATGGTTGTAGGCAAAATTATAGACAATTATTCACAGGTTTCCAGTTGTCACCATTTGTCTCGTTTCGATGCAAAGGCACGGTTACATTTCAAGATAGCGCAGGGAACGTAAGAAAGACTCTAGTGTTCAGTTGATTTGGTGTTGTAATGTGGCTTTTATTATCCTCCAGATTGCACAGCGTATCAGAAATGGTGTYCAGGGTCTTGGAGAATCATGCATTGGTCTTGTACAAAGCGGTGGTGAAGTCCAGAACAGACCAAATGACCCTTACTCCAAGAAAGAACTCTCTGATAACAGCAAACGTGTCGCTGAAAAGGTAAGCTGCCTCCTACGGGCCTTAAATGTTATATCAGGGACGGATCCAGGATATTTCAGGGGGAGGGGGGGGGGAAGAGCTAACTCTGGAAAAGACTAAGAGAGTAAGAACTCTCTGATAACAGCAAACGTGTCGCTGAAAAGGTAAGCTGCCTCCTATGAAATGTAATGTTATATCAGGGACGGATCCAGGATATTTCAGGGGGGAGGGGAGGGGGAAGAGCTAACTCTGGAAAAGACTAAGAGATTAAGAACTCGCTGACAACAGCAAACGTGTCGCTGAAAAGTTAAACTTGCTCCTGTGGGACTAACTGTAATGGTATATCGAGAAAATACTAAGCTGTGGCTAGGTTAAGGATTGTGGAAAACGGATGAATGCTACCTTAAACTGTAGTTTCTTTCTTATGATAAATGAATGGGAGTGGGGAAACAATCYTTTGCAAAATAARGTGAAACACCGTCTAYGGTTGTGTTACTACAAACTCCCCTCCCCTTTTACAATGRAAAGTGTGTGCAACCTTGCAGTGGGGAAAGGGGGTAGGGTGYTCCGTTTATTTTGCACAAGATTGTAGCCATCCCCTTCAACAATTCCTGTACCTCCCTGTATTTTTGATATCTTAGGAGAATTCATGCCTTTACGTGTCGACTGCCTATTTAGGTGTCCCATCTACTATCTGCACTAATGGCCGGGTCACGTGGTACTCAAGCTTGCATTAATGCTGCCGCTACTGTTAATGCGATCGTGAATGACCTGGACACTACTGTCATGTTTGCAACCGCTGGTACGATGAATCCTGAAAACCAAAATGACAACTTCGCTGACCACAGGTAGGTGACTTGCTGGCTCAAAATAGTTATAATAGTCTCCTTCACGGTTACTTGCGCCATCTTGAAAGGTAGCCGTGCCTTTGCATCGAAGCGAGACGACCGTTGAGCGTGCAATGATAGAAACCTTCTTTCACACGTACAGACAATTCTTCACAGGTTTCTATCATTACACGCTCAACGGTTGTCTCTCTTCGATGTAAAGGCACGGCTACCTWTCAACATGGCGCAGGTAACCGTGAAGAAGACTATTCTGCTAGATATATATTTTTGGGTTTATGTTTAGGAAATTATAGTGCAAAAGAGACACTACTTTGAAATATTTTCCTATTAATACAAGGGTATCTACTGYGGAGTAATAAAATAGATAGATATGGTCACATCGAGATTTTCTCTTGCTTCTCAAGAACAATGTTATCAAATGACATCAACCAATCAGAATACACGTTGAATTATTGTACATATATTCATAGAGAGGACATCCTTAAGAATGCCAAGGTCTTAGTCGAGGATACTAAGAAATTAGTGGCCGCTGCCCAATCATCACAAGACGTCCTGGCTACAGCAGCCGAATCATCGGTCGGCAGTGTCTCAAAACTCTCTGAGCACGTTAA